TTCCAACTCTTCTTCTCTTTTTCTTCATGATAGTGGTTGTTTTTTCCTGTTTTCCTTGTAGAGCCCACTCTAAACATTTTGACACTAAATTATACTTGTCTCATAAAATCCTGGTGTCAGCTGCTGTTCCTCACCCAGAGTCACAGACCAGAACTTTAAAGTGATTTACAAGTTGTCTTTTAAACAGCAATAAGACAGAAAGCTCGACTCATCATTTTACATTTCTCATTCCTTTGGTCTCCATTAAGGGATCACGGGCTGCCTCGTAAACTGTGCGTTTCACTTTATAGCTGTCAAATAAAATGCATAATTTATGGATGTTGTTGACAGCGTGAGCACTCTGGGCAGAGAACCACAAAGAAAACCAGCATTTTAAAAGAATGAGCTTCAACATAAATAGATACAACCAACCTCTGATTACACTGACCTTAACCACGAAGAACATTTATCTGCTTAAACATGTTAAAGACCACTGAACACCCAAATCAATTGATCACCTAGTCACACTGGAGTTAGCAACAAGGCAAATATGATACAATCTGAACCTTTACTCCTCTGGAATCTTGAGTTACTTTCATCTCATTTCCCAACGCACTTATTGAAATGACAAATGTACATCTTGGTACTGTGTGTAAAAAAGACAAGCAGTTGGATGAGTCTGTCTTTAGTGTAAAACTAGTAACTTTCTGCTTCAACCTCAGCCTGTGACAGAATAACAAAGGGGTCGAGTAGAAAAAAATCTGACACTGTAATATATAATGATGTCTAAGAGACTTAACTCTCTTTGCTTCGCCTTTATTTCCCACTCAGAACAATTCAGCTGTGGTCGTGTGAACATGTCCTCCACCTCCTCCGGCAGGTCCATCCTTGCCCCCCGCTCACGCAGTTCCAACGACACCCTGGAGGATGACTTCAATGACAATGATATAACACAGATATATGATGATTACTATGACCTCCATGGAAATGATTCAGACCCGTCCAACACCTCTGTGGCCCCTGCAGTGAACAAACGTTCAGTGAGGTCGATTCTGAACTCCTCTGCAAATCCAGCGGAGGCTATTGTGAACGGTGGGCAGGCAAGCAGTGCCACTGAAACGCCCACAGAGAAAGATCAGCTGCCCTACTGGGCTTTCTTCCCCACACTCCCCTCCATCACAGAAAAAGACAACACAGACCAGAGGATTGTGGGAGGCGATCAGGCCATTCCTGGAGAGATACCTTGGCAGGTATTGTAGTGTGGGATGTAGAATAAAGAGACAGGTCCAAGTAGATGTTTGTGCCAAATTTGAAAAAAATTCCCTCAAGGCATTATTGAGATATTGCTTTCAAGAGAATGAGACAGATGAGGTCACAGTGACCTTGACCTTTTGCCATAGAAATCTGATCAGTTCATGTTTGAGTCCATGTGAACGTTTGTGCCAAATTTGAAGAAATTCCCTCAAGGTGTTCTTGAGAATTCACATTCACAAGAATGGGATGGATGGACAACCACCAAAGGGGGTTGTACATCCACCTGGGGGCGACTGTGGCTCAGAGGTAGAGCGGGTCGTCCACTAAGTGGTTCGATCCCCAGCTCCTCCGGTCTGCACGTCAAAGTATCCTTGCGCAAAATGCTGAACCCCGAATCACTCCTGATGGCTGTTCCATCAGTGTGTGAGTGTTTTAAAAATTGAGTAGCAGGTGGCACCTTGTATGGTAGCCTGGGCCACCAGCGTATGAATGTGTGTGAATGGATGAATGTAACTCGTGTAAAAAGCGCTTTGAGTGGTCAGATGAAAGGGACTAAATAAGTGCAGGTCCATTACCATTACCAAAGCATAAAAACAACCTGAAGCTTCTTTTATAAAATGGGATTTCTTAGACGCGGTCACTGCAGCAGTGCAGATGCTCGTCCACTATGTCTTTCCGCTTCAACATTTCCAGGTCACTGGGACAGGAAATATAGCAGGAGAGGCGGAGTGAGTAAAGAGGAGGAAAAGACTGGATTCAGAGTAAAGGATTTAACAAAAGACACTGTCAAGTTGTATTAATGAACATGTAGGTTGCAGAGGATATGGAGCTTGAATTTTTCTGGTTTCCAAATTTATGGAGGCCTTGTCCAAAACTGCTGGATTCTCTCTTTAAAACGCAGGGTCACAGTGGAATAAATACGAATGCAAATAGTAAAGAGATGACAGAATAGACTGCAGCAGTGAGGACAGAAGGTGGATGGAGGAAAGAAAGTGGGAGCATTCAGAAGTTTAGAAGGGGGCAAAGAAACATGTGCTGTGACACTGCTCTGCCAAATTGAGCTTATAGGAGTATATGTGTTTCTATGTGTGTTTTCAGGTGGCCCTGATGTCTTTCTCAGCTGTCCTTCAAAGAGCAGAGCCTTTCTGTGGGGGGTCTTTGCTCAGTGAATTATGGGTCATCACCGCTGCCCATTGTCTGACGGAGGCTCATGCCACTGGAAGGAATTTCTTCGTCAGAGTGGGTAGGAAAAACAAACATTATCCATAAGTTTATATTTTAATTCTCGGACCGATATCTCCAAAATACAAATTGTTCTTTTGAAGGACCGTGTTGACCAAATTACTGCGAAATTACTAACACCGAATTTATGCTTCTAGGTGAACATGATGTGAGCAAGGTTGAGACTCCAGAGCGAGATCATCAGGTGGCAGAGGAACATTTGCACCACATGTATAATGACAAGGTGTCACAGTATAACCATGATATTGCACTTCTGAAGCTTGCCACTCCGGTGGAACTGTCCCGTGAACGGCGTCCCATCTGCCTGGGCCCCAAAGACTTCACAGAGAACCTCTTGAGGGAGGCCAGCAGTTCTCTTGTGAGCGGCTGGGGACGGCTTAAGTTCCGTGGCCCCGAGGCCACCATGCTTCAGAAGCTGGAGGTCCCCTACGTGGATCGTACCGATTGTAAGCAGAGCAGCAGGGACCACGTCACGCGCTTTATGTTCTGCGCTGGCTTCCTAAGTGAACAGAAGGATTCGTGCCAGGGGGATAGTGGGGGGCCGCATGCCACCAAGTACAAAGACACTTGGTTCCTGACAGGCATCGTCAGCTGGGGAGAGGACTGCGCCAAGGACGGGAAGTATGGCGTCTACACTCGAGTCTCAAGGTACTACCCTTGGATCAGTCAGAAAACAGGGCTCCACATTATCAAGGAATAACGCAGCTTTCAGCCAAAGAAACATACAGAAGAAGTCAGAGTTTTTCTTCCACTGAATCATGTTAATTTCTTCAATTAAATGTAATAAAAATATTGTGATGAAATATTGCAGTATTATACCTTGTAGCTCTTCATCCAGTGTTTCATTGTATGCAAGAGCAGATTGTAAATGCAATCCTGAGACGCCAAATAACATGTAAAAATTCTTTAAATGTCCCTGAATCTTAAAGGCCCTGCTCACCACACAAGTGTTTCCACTTATTTGCTGATTAGACCTTTGCTCAGGTTGACTTTGGGTGGAGCTATACTGGAATTACCAAGGCCAGAGTTACTGTCACACTGTTGGGAAATACCACTGCAGGGCAGGAAATAGTGTGAACTTAAAAAGCTGTGTGTTTAGCAGCAGCAACAGCAATGCCCATGTTTAGAAGTAGAGATTTAAAGCTTTTACCAGAGGTGGGATTCAGTCACAAGTTTGCAGGTCTCATGGTCTTAACCTTCAAGACTCAAGTTACTGTGATGAGAGTCAAGTAAGTCAAGTCCCTGCTGTACGTCAAGCAAGACAAGTCAAGTCATTGGTTGGGTCAAGTTAATCACAAGTTAAGTCAAAAAAATGTCATGATCTTGTCGAACGTGAGCTTTCTAGCTAACGTTTGATCAGTCAGTTAGCTAATAAGTTAAATAAAATGATCCACTTCTCTATCATCTTTTGTGGGTTTTGTGTTGATGGATGAAGTTGGATGTTGTGGTGGTTCATTTTACAGCTGCAGATCTTGCATATCACTTTTCTTTTAATTCAAATTCTTCAATTAAAATTTTATTATTTTTGCACTAGCCCCCTCAGTGCTGGGCTGCTCCTGCATTTGCCTCTGCTGGTCTGCTGCATCCTCAAAGGTTGCCAGGTTTGTCTGCACTGCACTTGAAATCACCCAATCATGTTTCAAAAACAAGACCTAACTTTTCAATATCTAAAAAATGCAAATATTTAATTAAAAAAAGTCAAGTCTTTCAAGTCATCTATCTTGAGTCTAAGTCAAGTCTTAAGCTTTGAATACCAAGTCAAAGTTAAGTTGAGTCTCAAAGTCCTCACAATTGCAACTTGAGTCTGACTTGAGTCAAGTCATATGACTCGAGTCTTCCATCCTCTGGTTGTTGCAGTCACTGCACCCATGCCTTGCTCCTGTTCTGCTCCTTGTATACTGTACCATGTTGTATATACAATAATACAACGTTAACAATCAATACATCTTAAATTACAGATCAGTCTCACCCTACCTGTTAAACTGGTACATTGTGAGTCCTGAGATTTTTACAGCTTTCAGTTTAATTGGCCTTTTTTCCCCCCCACAGCTGACCTTTCGACTTGTCATAGCCAGTAATGCACAGGTGCAATTAATACAGTTAACGATGGCTCAGTTCAGCAGTTGGTCAGAGAGTGAGCAGACACAGAGGCAGAGCCCTGAAACTGAAGTTAAACAGAGTACAGTCCTGGTTAATATTATAAATTATACTGTGGTTTTCCTGCTATGTTATGTCAGAATCTCTGCTGTAGTTAGTTTGAAACAGGAAGCAAGTACGCCTTGCTTTGCCCTGCCCAAACAGATGCAACAGAGCTAACAGCAGAGTCAGGAAGATGTCATGTATCCATTGTCACTATAGCAACATAGGTCGCACTTTTGACAAGTTCTGGCGCATACTGTGACGTTGGCTGCCTATAACTCCGTTTATCTCAGTTTACATGCAAACGTGCAACCAGAGTTTTCCAAAATCTCCACTCTGGCCCGAGTTTTTAGAAAAACTCGTTTTCAGAGGAGAAATCTCTGTTTGTGTGTAAACGAAGGGCACAAATGAAGGAAGATGTCTCCGTTTATCAAAATCACCGTGTACATGTAAACAGCCTCTAAGCCTGCTAAAATTTAACTGAAGAAATCACACCAGTCAGGTTAAATTAAATCAATCCTGTGCTTATATTTGGGAAAATAATCATATACATTATGCATTATAATACAAGCTTTCACAATGATTCAAAATATCAAAAAAGTGCAAAATAAGCAAAGCAGCAAACACCAGTTTAAGGTACAGTGGAAAAGACACATTACAGCCTTAACAACATCTGATGTTACAGTAGAGCCTGTGGTCGGTGGATTTAAAATAAATTAAACATTGAGTTTAGTGGTCACATTATTAAGACAGTCCGGCACTCACAATCAAGTGACTGCAATGTTCCCACTGTGGGTGTTACATACTGTGAAAATGAATCTTTTTTTCAGTGTTAATCTCAGGTTTAGTGTTGATCTATACAGTCCAGAGATGCAGCTGCATGAATCTGATGTACCTTTTGTCACTTGAAAGCTGAGTGTCAATGTCTGACTGTCCAAAAAAAGTTTCACCATTGAGATGACTATTGTCCAACATTGTGGTTCATATCTAAAATTTTGATTTTTACATATTCACAGTTAACTACAAATCTGTCACATACTGTATCTGCCCTTCAGAGATAAACCCTCAGCACATGATGGCTGTAAAGTGGCAGTGTTTTCATAACCACTTTTCACACTTTGCTTGAAAGCTGCTCGACTGTTAACAGTGTCAAGAAAATCCGACTGGGCAGTTTTAAAACCAGGCAGTTTTTTTTCCATAATGTTTCCTCATTAATTCAGCTCTCCAAATTGAAAATCTATAATTCATGTAGTAATCCACAATGTAACTGTAATAGTTCAGCTGGCAATTAAAGTTCTACACTACTGTATTTACAGTTACTAGCTAACACTGAGCACGGTTCCCTGTTGGTGTGTAATAGCAGTACAGGCAGAAATCATGTGCAGTGATCTGTCCATGCAGAGCAGCAAACTAACAGACTTAAAGTTTGTCTCGTGTCAGTGGTAATAACAGCTGTGGCAGAGGATGAGATTAGATCTGATGGAAGAGTTGCAGAATTATCACCAATAAAAATTAACAGATGCCAAAGGAAAAATATTGGAAAAAATAATAACACATTATCACCATCAACAGCAGCAAACATAAAGAATAAATACAAAAAATTACTAACATTTGAAATATGTACAATTTATATATCAAACAAGCATTGGATTACAACAACCAGCTACGACAAGACTGTGTTAAGTACTGCAGGACTTTTCCACAGACCCAGATGGTTCATCTTGAGGACTTAAAGTTATTAATTACACCTGCACCTTTCCTGCCATGTCAACAAGGGTGTTTTCGCATATAGTCCTTTTTAAACAAACCGAACTCGGTCCTCTTAAAGTGCACTAAAAAGTGGACCAACAGAAAAGGGACTCAGTTCTTTTTGTGTTCACATTGTGGATTCATTTGAAAGAGGACTCAGTTCTCTCTCTGGTCAACTTCTGCTCTGATGGGGTCTCAGTCCTCTTTCTGTTCACACTACAGCCTATATACATTGACATAGTTTTGTTTTTACTTTGACGTGGCACTGCAGTGCGATTATGAAGCCCCTCACTTTCAGATTAACCCTTAGCGTTTCTGTGCTGTAGACTGTTGCTGTTTGATGTATTCTACATTCCACATCTGGACACGTGCAGTATCTTCCCTGGACCAAACTATTCCTTGTCCTGCATCCTTGCAAGCATTACAGGCCAACATGGTTTCGTCTGATCTAAAGGGCTGAATACAATGGGAAAGAGCAAAGTGAACCTGGAGTTCTTTGTGTTCACAAGGCACAGGTTAAGTGAACTGCACCGCAGACTTGAAGTGAACCGAATTTACACCAACCCACGAGGTGGTCTGAGTTCGGTTCTCTTCAGAGGGGTCTGAGTTCTCTTGGAGTGTTCACATATGCCCAAAAAATGCTGAGTCACAGCTCTGAGTCCGCTTAGAGGGCTGAAAAGGACCAAGTATGAAAACACTCTAAATGTCGATAGAGAGTATGCAATGACATTTTCAAAAAAAAAAACACAATGTCTGTTATGACCTTGACTGAATATCGCCACACTTCTTTTCTTGCCTTTTTTTCTGTCATGTGGCCATTTTCACATTCAATAACATCACATGCATACCATCTGGTGATGTAGCTGGCTGCTGTAGTAAAGAAAGAGGGCTGAAATTCCTTAAAAACGATGACACCAAGGTAAAGCTATACTCCAGAACTGACTGCTGTACAAAAAGAAGCCACAATAATTAGCTGAGCTGTTTGGCACATGAACAGTTATGATATGTTAGTAGGCATATGCATGATTTCTGTCATATTTCATAAGAAAATAGAAATGATAAAACTTGAAGTCCAACAAAAGTCCTTTCTGTATGTATGAATAAAAGTTTGATGTTTCAAAGTCCAAATAATCAACTGCGTTACTGCTGGGAAAAAAAGAGGTTCCACATATGTGCTTTGCATTGTTACAGTCTTCTGAGGTTCATCCTGTAGTTTACAGCCTTCTGAGGTGAGAGTGTCACAGTAGTTTGAAGAGTAAAATACGCGGTTGATGTGCTTCAGTCTGATGATCTGCTGAACGTCTCGGCAGAGTCAGATTCCCCGTTTTAGTCAGGAAGTTGATGGAATACGTTTGTGTCTGCTATCCTCTGTTCTGGTTGGCTCTTAGCAGGTCTCTCCCAGAATCCTGTGCAGGTCCTCAGGTAGAACACGCCCTTCTTCCCCACGGCTTATATTCCTCACCATCCTATGATTACACACACGGAAACACAGACACACAAAAAAGTGACAGCTCAGTATTTTCATCTCTAGTCTGTATTTAAAATTGTCTGTGATCAACATTTCTGAAACAAGCATATTATTTTACCACATTCCTGACATTTCCTCATGCAGCAGCTGGATGACATCACCACGGTTAAAGATGATGTCATCAGCGCTGGCCATGCTGCTCTCTACCATGACCCTGTACCTGCCCGCCACCTGGAGCAGAGAAAAGACAAGTGAAACAGGAGAAAAGTGCACAACAGTCTTAAATGTAGATAGCCCTCATCCCAGAAGTATTTTGGTTTAGTCTGCGTTTGCCCACCAAGCTGTAGATCATCGGTGTATGGTTGCCAATGCAAGAGGACCACACGTCGGGAGACAAGTCAAGCTCATGCTGTATCCTCGGTTTCAGCAACAAATAGCATTTGTTGTGGGCTGTTAGTAGCTCCAAGGCTCAGTGTTCATATACTCCGCTTGGCGTAACAAATAATTTCTCCATTACTACATATGCCATGACCCTAATAGAATCTCACCAGGGGGGCGGGCTGATCCTCCTCATCTGAGTCGGATAAGTTGGAGAGGTCTGTAGCTGCACCCCAGTCCTCCAGGCCCTCACAGATCGCCACTGAGTGGGCAGGGACAGGCCAAGCTGTGGGCGACACGACAGCTGAGACAACTATAAAGGGAAGCACTACACTTTTTAATCATTAATATTCCAAGATCTACAGTATGTGTATGCACTGGCTGTCATGACAAAGATGCTTTTTAGTTCATCCAGAATGGCTGACTGATGGTAAATTTAATCGACTGAAGCATTACGTGCATGCTACGGTGACTGAGAAAGCTGAGTTCACAGCTGCAAAATCTGTCTTTTGACATGACAGTGACGTAGTTAGAGGAAGGAAGAACTACAGGCTGTTTCAGCTTGGACTAGGCATTCCCTAGACTCCGCTCAAAAACAGAATTTCCTTGCTTTCTTTGCTTGTTTCCAAAGGCAAAAATGGCATTCAGTAATATGACTGCAGTGGATTTTATGGATGAGGATATATTATACAATGTCTTAGCTGGCTCAGATATTCAGCTGTATTTATTTGAGCCACAGTATATGACTGAAGGCCGGTGGGGATCCTCCAGAATTTGAGCTGCAGAGAGCAAACACACACTGACAGTCCCTTTGCTCAAATTGCCCTCTGATGCCAACAGAAACTGAATCATTATGCTGCAATGAATCTCACTGTGAGCAGTTTTTGTTTGATGCTGTTGCCAATGCCAACCCTGACAAAGCCTGTGCATTATATTACTTTGCATGAAAGTTTTACTCCTCAATTTGACAGAGGTGTGCTGGAGACCTTCTTCAGGATCCTGAGGATAAACTGGAAAAGACCAGCAGGGCCAAGAGAGCAGACGACTACTGAGTATTTTCATCACCTAACACTATTATAAGCTGTTATGTTGAGCTGCCTCTTAGCAAAACTGCTCCTAGTAATTTAAGTTGAGCTTTTATTGTGAAAAATAAGTTAAGTGGTAATGGACTGCCATGGGCAATGTAAAAAAATGAGCATAGCGTTAGTTCAGGCAGGACACCATGTCAAGCTCAGCTCTACATCAGCTGATCTCAAGCAGCCCAATCAACTGATGGAGCAGCTGATTGATGAAGGGGAGTCAGTTGATAGATCACATGATTCCTTTCTATGCAACCAAATCTCATTCAGGGCGCCCTATTTAAACTGCTCTGGCCTGCCTACTGTTGCTGCTTCCTCTGCAAGCCGCTTTGCAACCTGCCCCCACCCCAGCTCCTCCTTTTCATGCTGTGTCTGACTTATCAATGTCATTTCTGTTTGTCATCGATGCTGCTCTGTTCTGTTCCCAGGGGGTCTTTGCTGCTGCTCTCTCTGCCTTAGGCTTTCTATGTAGGCACATGGAAGGGCAGGGAGGTGTGCTCTCTCTGCCTCAGGCTTTGCTCGTTCGCACATGGAAGGGCAGAGAGGTGTGCTCTATCTGCCTTAGGCTTTCCATGTAGGCGTGTGAAAGAGGTTTTCTGCGTAAGCGCATGGAAAGGCAGAGAGGCCCCAGAACAGAACCATACCGCCAAATATAAAACTGCAAATGGAAATAAAGTTTTCTTTGATGAAAACTCAGCTTTCTCTGTCAGTACAGCACACACTGAGGAATTTATTGCTTCAGTTGACTACATTTATGATCAATGCTGATTGGACATCCACATAAAAGGTGGCAAATTTTCCCTTCAATATCTGGCCAACGAAAGACCCATACAAAACCAAGAGGTTTTCATTAATTTCTCAAACATTAAGTCATAAGAAAAAACAATTTCTTTCAAGACATGAGTACTGTGTGTTCTACTTTGTGTGTAGTCAGTCTCAGCGACTCACTGCGTCGAGGTGAGTGAACCACAGGATCTGAGTGGGCGGGGCTGGTGTGTATGGACTCCTCCCCCCGGTATCTGTTGGAGTGGCTTGTTGCCGAGGAACTGTTAGGAACAGGGAGACACGCTGAGCAGCCTCCCACCGACGCTCCACCCCACGACACACACATCTCTGATGCACTAAAACCACATCGCCATGGGAACAAGACACGACCACAACGAACAAAAACAAAAAAACAACAACAACAACATCCACGGTGTCACAAAACGAGCTCATCCACATTCTGTTAATCAATACAGCATTCCGTCAAGTTCACAACCACATGTATTTCAGCGTCTGATTTCAAAGGATGTTTGAGTTTGGAACACAAATATCAATTATATCAGAGATCGCTGAAATATATGGAAATATTATTTGTAGTACACAGTATTCTGCACACATACCAGGCCTTGATTAAATAGCATTTGCAAATAATCCACAGTGTGGCTTTAAGTAGTAGATGGGTGGAGAAAAGAAAATTAAGATAGTCATAGGAATTTATTTGGAAGTCACTTTGTCTTAACACATTAAAGCTTACCCATCTGCTGGATAAAGTAAAAACACTTAAATTACTTACAAATGCAATGTGACCACACCAAAATCATGTACACAAATCATTAAAAAAGTGAGAAACACCCACAGTATCTCATCATCCATATGCTGGAGTGATTAAAAAACCCAACGAGACAGTCTCTGAATAGGATTTTCCCATGCTATTTCCCATTCTTTGACAACTGCACTCTAAGTCTTTATGAGTGTATTTACGGTAACACTTTACTTGAAGGTATCTACATAAGGGTGACATGACACTGTCATAACTATGACATGACACGGTCATAAATATTATGCACGTCATAAACGTTTATGACTGCTGTCATTAAGTGTCATTGTTTTTGTAATGACAAGTTGACATTGTTTGGGTTGTCTTGATTATGACAACTTGACATTAATCAAAGTGACATTGCCAGAAGTTGTCTTTGTCATGACAAGTTGACATTGTTTGGGTTGTCTTGATTATGACAACTTGACATTAATCAAAGTGACATTACCAGAAGTTGTCTTTGTCATGACAAGTTGACATTAAATTTGTTTGGGATGTCCTTATTATGACAACTTGACATTAACCAGGATGACATTACCAGAAGATGTCTTTGTCATAACAACTTGACATTAACAAGAAATGGTAATGTCACTTTGATTAATGTCAAGTTGTCATAATGAAGACAACCCAAACAATGTCAACTTGTCATTACAAAAACTGAATGACACTTAATGACAGCAGTCATAAATGTTTATGGCATGTACATAATGTTTATGACAAGTTCATGACAGTGTCATGTCATAGTTATGACAGTGTCATGTCACCCTTATGTAGATACCTTTGAGTAAAGTGTTACCATATTTACTTTAAGGATAAGTGTGGCATTATTTTCTACTGTCAACAAACTCGTCAACGAAAAGACCAAAACCAAAAATGTGTTGGTCCTTCTCTCAGTGCTTTATGACTTCCCTAGCCCCAAGCCCATTGGGCCTAGTCTGGGAACCAGATGAATCTCTGAGCAATAGTTTTATTTTTCTAGTCCCCGTCCCATTCAGATTTCAGCAAACCAGGTCCTGGTCAAGTCAAACACATTTGCTTATCTAATATGATGCATGTTTGATGTGATTACTGATGACTTGCAGAGCCTTACGCTTTACACAAAATATGTAATGATGTCATTTTTGGCTCATGCACCCCCACAACAGGGACATGACAGTGAGCACATACATAGCTTAGTAAAGAGGAGCACCTATCAGGCATTGTGATAAAAAAATGTCAACACTGGTGCACAGATACATTGATGCTACACCCACCACAGCTCATCTCTGCACACTGTAGTCTATTTACATTTGTCTGTCACCGTTAGTGCTATACATCACATGATTGGTTGCAGGGCTCTCCAATTGCATCCAGAGGCACTGTGATTTACAGCCGTTTATAACACCCCTTTGGAAATTGAAAAGGGAAATGAGAGGTTCCAGATGAACTCACATTTGCATCGCCAGACTACATTTATCCCTACTGTAATATAAATCTTTAAAATGGGTCACAAATATACATTTATCTTTTTTAAAAACGGCTCAGTAATTTCAGCTGGGATTCTGCACTCAGAGAAAAAAACCCTTTGGGCTGTTTGTATTTCTTTGAATCAATCACAGTCATCTTGGGCAGCGCTATGGTGGCCGATGACAGGCTAATATCCACAGTCTACATCCAGTGAGCCAGACCAATAAGCTTTGTCAGACTTTGGACACACAAACAATACTTGTTAGGGGCACCAGCTGATTGTTGGTTTTGATCTTTTCATGGAATTTGTTGAAAAAGAAAAAAAAAACTATGATCTTAAAATATTTGACCCCCCAAAAAACTTTGTGCCAATGTTAATCATTTTCCTGCAAATGAGTCATTAGCAAGTTGTGTTGTTGAGGTTTCGAAGACCCAACCATTCATCACATTTACAACATGCTAGCATGCTATCAGAAAACAAAACACTGGTATCTCCTACAAAAACTCCACAGACACACTCATCTCCAGCAACACTCTTTAAAGTTTCATGTTTGACACTATCCTAGAGAACCAACGACTGACAAACACCTGAGTAACAACTGTAAGCTCTTGGAAAACCTCAAACAATTTTCTCTGACCTACAATTTGGCAGCTGTTTCTTTAAAGGCATACTGTGCAAGGATGCCTGTTACTGTTTGTGAGCACGCTCTCCAGCAAAACTGAAAGTAAAAGCCAACCCCAGATTCACTCTCATTTGGCATTTCGCCTCACTACATTTGTGGGTTTTTTTGGCACTGTGTCACCTGGATTCCTGCTGTTTACAGTCTGGTACCTGACTTTTTGTAAAGCCTTGACTCCACCTGAGCACCTATAAACATCCCCAGCACAGAAAATCATAAGAAAATACAGACAGAGGGCAGAGTCTCTGTCGAAAAATACACACACTTCTAGTGGGTCATGAGTGATGGTTGAGAGGGATTGCTGTAGTATGAGTGGAAAAATCCTGCACAGTATATCTTTAAGAAACATCTATCATGTACACATTTGCAGTATTTTCAGTGTATACGGCTCTCCATGGTGCTGAAATTGTGCAGCGTGGCATTTCAGCACCATGGACAGTGTTAAAGCCATCTGTAGGACTTGGCAGTGAAGTCACGAAAACTGGGTTCTCAAGGGTAATGACAAAGACGTGGATACACCACGTACACACACACTGCACACGAACATACTCATTCAGCAACCATTGTTGATAAAAACAAGATATTGGCATGTGGGTGAAACTGAGTGGGTCTTTCAGGATTTTTGCTATTATTACCACTATAAGTGAAAGACCGTTTCCTTCAAGTATCAAGTTTTAATCAATTTCTGGTTAAAAGTGAGCTGTCCCATTCCACCACCACACATCAGGAGGTCATGAACGGGCACAGAGGATGACAGGGAGGTCATGCAGAGAGAAATTACCTGTCAGAGAGGGGGTTGTCTGAAAGTGTAAGATAAGGCGCCTCATCTGAGAAAACAAGAAGGGACGAAGGACAAAGACATATTACATATGGGGGAGTGAATCATCCCAACATCAATTTGGATTCCACCCCAAGACCTTCACGAGAACTCAAACATCTGATATTCCTATGGAAATTACCTTTAAACTTAGCAGAACAGTAAAGAGCTGACAATGACAGAAAGGTAAAGGTAAAGTTCCACTGATTGTCACACACCTGAGTGTGTGAAATTTGTTCTCCGCATTTGACCCATCCCCTGAGGGAGCGGTGAGCAGCAGCGGTGCTGCGCTCGGGAATCATGTGGTGATCTAACCCCCCAATTCCAACCCCTGATGCTGAGTGCCAAGCAGGGAGGCAATGGGTCCCATTTTTATAGTCTTTGGTATGACCCGGCCGGGGATCGAACCCACGACCTCCCAGTCTCAGGGCGGACACTCTACCACAAGGCCACTGAGCTGAAGTTACATGATATAGCTGCAGTTCTATATCGCTTCTTCTCATAGACATATCAGAGCTAAACTCAAGTTAAACAAAATAAAATCAGGCTCTTCAAAGAAAGTAGTGTACATATACAGCAGGGCTGCACAATATATGTAAGTTGAAATAGACTATCAGTAGAAAACTGCACTTTAAAATGTAACTGTTACTCTTTTTAGGTGCCTTTTGTGTTTAGTTCAAGTTCAATTTGTCCAATAGAAGAATGTAAGTAAACTGTTTTACTTTAGCAGTATACTGAAAGCAGCAGAAAGGCAGAATTGAGTACTCTTCAATATCTGCTTATGGCAAGTATTATCGTTATTACGATACTTAACAGTGCTAGTGCACACTATATATTTCCCTCATATCGTGCAGCACTAATGTAGAGGCGGCAAATGAATTATAGCAGTAATAGAAACCTTGACGCATCTTCTGCTGGTTGGTGAGAATTTTTCGAAGCTCTGTCAGCCAGGCAACTTTGATCTCAAGAGTGGGAGCCTAGACACACACACACACACACACACACACACACACACACATAGAGACCATAACACAAAAAAGGTTTGATTCAATGACCTAAAGGTACATGACACATAAAATACTAAAAGAAGAGATAGAAAATACCTGAACTATGTACACCACTTCTCTGCCACTGTACCAGATTTCAAATTTCTTCACATCTCCTTTCACATTTTCTGTGATTCCCACTGCACTCATCTACAGGAAGAGAGAAGACATTACATTTCCCTATTACCTCGACACTGTTACAGTATTTTTATTAGAACCAATAATATGCAATAAAAACATAAAGGAAGGATTCATTTTAAGGCTGCTGAGTTGGACTGCATTAGGTGGAGCTAATAAAATGAGTGCATTATATTGAATTGTTACTCTGAGGCAGGATTTGAAGCTGTAGAAGGGTGTCCTGTCGTGAGCGTCGTCGTCCCTGCGCTTGCAGAAGAGCAGGGCGAGGTCATAGAGGAAGAGGTGTCTCTGCATGGGTTTGAACCTGGCCAGCTCCTTCATGCGCACCGCTGCCCTCTTATGGCTGATCCACACGCTGAAGCTGCCCTGCAACACCACTCGGCCCAGCTGGCTGAGGTCGCCCTGAGATGGACATATGGACAGATGGACAGATGGACAGACTGACAGACGGACCGACAGGTGGACAGAGAAGAAAGGAACAGAGATGAACTGCACCAACAAGTGAGAGATTCACTGCTTTATAGTAACGTTTGAGATACACAAAGTAGTTCCACACATTGTATGGACTAAGATGATACTTAAGTGTACGAGCAATTATACAGATTTGCAACAAAATAAGCTTTTTTTTTTTCTTTTTTATTTTGTGATACACCTTGTGAATTTGGATATGTTTATGTACAGGAGTTGTACAAACACTTTATATACAATTTTATTATTATTATTTTTTTAAAAGACAGAAAAAACAGAGGTCATACTGGCTCAGAAGAAGAATTGAAAGGAGTGACACAGTAATATTTTAACTTTTGCTGCTGATAAATTCATCATGGTAAATAGTAGAAATATTATTGTCTTATAATTTTCTATTTTCTGATCAGAGTAAACCATAAAATTCCTAACTGAATGATGTTTTAATGAATCAGTGTCAGCACAATGAATACTAAACACAACCAGATAATTGCTGGTAATTGTTTCCACAAACATCAAACTTTTTAGTCTAATTTAATGGTTCATTTAATTAATGCCTGAGGTAATAGAGAGTGGGAGTCAGTGGGAAATATGATGATGCATAGTATGCAAGTATTGGACCATTTTATATTAAGATATAATTATGTGTCATACATCTGGCATCCACTGTCCACTCTGTTGTATCTATTGGTTTGACTGGTTGGTACCTGATATCCAGTGATGGCTATCTGATGCATGGAGTCATTGACAGACTTGAGCAGCTCCAGCATGGAGTGCAGAGCCTCCTGGAGTTCACAGCGGTAATGTTCCTCTGTACAGTGTTTCAGTAGCTCCTGAACAGAGACAGAGACACAGGCAGACAGGTCAGTGCTTTTCAGTTTATCTAATCTAGTCAGTCTCCATGAACGTCTGCTTACACAAATTAGTTTTGTCTGGGGGATTGGCCTTCATGTTGTCAATTTGTCTTTGTGTCTGTTTAAAATGTCTACCTGTGTCCTCATAAGTGTGGGCACTTTGCTGGAAGTATAACTGTCTTGATTGCTTGGCTCTTTTAACCATCATCTCTTTGTCCATTCATCAGTCTGAATGTTTTTTTCTGAACAAAAACCTATTACAGTGCAGACTGACCTGACCATGATCACGTGAATCTGTGGAAGGCAAGGTCAGCTGGTAGTCAGTCCACTGATTAGATCCAGAGTGAAATATCTCAGCAACTGTTAAATGGATTGCCACGACATTTGCTTCAGACATTCATGTCTCCCTAATTTTGGTTTCCTCTAGTGCCACCATCGGGTCAAATGCCAAATTAATATTTTCATATGGCGGGGTTTTATTTGGTTCAATTTATAGGGGCTTTACTGACATGGGAAACGTGTTTACATCGCCAAAGCAAGTGTGAAATAAAAACAAAAACTGTATGCACAGTGGGTAAAGATCTACTAGAATCTGGTTTATATAAATGTCACTCCTGACGGGTACACCTCAGATACACCCACCATACAAGAGAAAACATACCTCAAAGCCTGTTTCACAACATTTCAAGGAAACGTGTCGCTCAGCCTAGAAACTGTAGCAAAACAGTGCACACCGTTTTGACACTTAACGTGCCCCAGACCTTTGACATGCAAATGAACTTCGCAGCAAAGATGCAGAGTTTGACTGGAGACATACTTGCTTTTTTATCCACATGGATGCGCAGACAACCGGCTGCATCGTGACCAGAATTGCTCCCAAACTTGCTCCCAAACTTGCTAATGTACTACTTGAGGGCACACCAGAGAAGTCAGACCATACAGAACTTCCAGATGAAGTGCACAACTATGGTTCCAAATGGACGCAGAATACGCGAGGCAGCCATCATGCACACATGACTGGGTAACTAAAACCAAGTACATCTCTGTCTTAAGTGTGCCACATCTCTGCTTACTCTCAACATGACTAATACTACTTTTCAAGAGTCACTGAGTCACTCTGCTTGACACAATTTTGCTTTCATACAGCAAAATCTTATCATTCTGCAAAAAAAGACTGAAATGATGCACATCTCAAAACAATTGGCCTTTATGATAACACCTAATAACAAAATCTTTTAAACATGCATTTCTGCAGGACTCTATCACTAACTGACTCAGATGCTCAGATGTACAGAACCTTGAGTAGCAGCTGGTACTTGGTGAGGCGCTGGACTGGTTTCAGGAGGTAAGAGTCCAGACCCAGCTTGTGGTCCAGCTTCTTCTGGCACTCCTGCGGAGAGAGAGAGAGATTTTGCTGTAATACACAGAGCATGATTGGAAAACATGAATTTGTTCAAAATATAGGAAACACAACAACTTTACATGCAAACATCTCAAGATAATGCTTTCTATCAACACTCATCCAAATGACCATCAATATGAGACAATGAGTGGATCAAATTAAATATCCAGTATGTAACTACCTGAAAAAAGGGCGACTCAGAGCACTGTCTCCATAGCAACTCAGATCGAGGCTTGTTTTGGCAGTAACGCTCGTACACCTGGAACTTCTCTTTCTGCTCACACACACATACACACACACAAATGTACAATTAGATACATTATGCTGTATCACTTCACATGAAGTTCCAGTGTTTCTCCTCATGTTCCCTCACCCGCTTCAGGAAGCAAGCCCCCACCCGCTCTGGCGTCTCCAGGCAACCCTGCAGATCCTGGAGAAAGATCCTGAGTGGAGAATCCAAGAGGAAAATGAACGGAAATTGGATTGAAAAGAGAGGAGGGGACAACTCAGTGACAGCTTGTGTATGTGTGTGTGTGTGTGTGTGTGTGTGTGTGTCTTGCCTGCTGTGAAACTGGTAAATCTCTGGCATGTTGCCAAACAGAACGTCCTTCTGGCTACGTAGAGCTGAAGGAAGAAGATTAGACATGGATGGGTCCTCCATTTCTGCCCTGTAGCCCTGATAAGAGGAGAGGACAAAGGAGATGACAACAGTAGTAATAATAAAAAAAAGGACAGGAGGACTTGATAGGAAACAGGAAGTACAAAATAACAAAAAGTGTTTATACAACAATGCGGATTCAAATTCAGCCAAGTAGCCTATATATGTATATATTCTTCTTCATACCCTCCATTGCTCTGCACTTTAAATTACTCAACAAAAGGAAAGAAAAAGCAACTTACCAGAAGGACAGAGAGCAGCTCGTCCACATAGATCCTCTCTGTAGCTATGAGTTCCTTCATAATATGACTAGAAAGTGTAAGAATGAGAGAAAAATAGAGAAAAACTCAATGCAAATCAAAACAAAAGTCTTAATGCTGCTGTGCAAACTCTGACCTTGGCACAAAAAGTTAAGAGAGGCTCATGTATGGGTCACACCAGCCTGTTCTCATCTCCAGGTCATCAAATACCCACACTTACTAACGCCCTCGGATTGTGATATCAACCCTGGAAGTTCCCTTTAATGTCTTTATGCACCAGGCTTTTCAGGAAACTCCCATGGTAACCCATCACAGCAATACTTGACACTGTGACATAGTACTGTGGTTTCCAACTGGTTCAGCCACGGGGTACAGATTCCTCCTCAGTCATTAGTTCAATGTCCACACAGTTAAATACATTCAGCGTCACACTTGTGTTTGGCCATGTCATCGAAGTAGTTTGCTGTCTCTGTCAAGTAGGTGTCTGGTACTCTGGTAGTCTCACTGTACAGCAGGAAATGGCACTTCAGAATAAAAGCTCTGTGCCAGAAATTCACTGTACTTTAAAATTAAGTGTGTTTTCCACAAACGACACATCTGCAAGTCACTTGCAGTCCATTCAGAATGGACCAATGACCCACTTTTGGACCGCAACTCACTACTGACGTAGTATAAGGAGGAAGAAAGTCTGTGAAGGGCAGGAGGATGGGTCAAACAAAAGTATGACTTTCAGCCAGGAGATCACAGTTTGTGTCCCGTGTGAAACCAAAAGTCCATATTGTTTTATCGTAGTGCTACATAATTGACACACAGTTGTAGCACACTGACATTCACGCGACGTAGTGAACATTTTCTAAACCTAACAGAGTAGTTTGGTTGCCTAAAACCTAACTTTGAGCATTTCACAACATCAACCACATGTTACGCTGTGTTTCAGCTGTGTGTCACATACGCTACAGGATGCCCTGTGCGTCGCTATGAGACGCTGGGGGCGTAACTAAGCGTCTATATTTGACAACCTGGAAATGTCAGTGTTTTTGTAACAAACACACATGCACACACAGCTTAATACACAAACAGTGCAAGGTTAGAGTCCCAGGTCAAGCTCAAGCAGAAGGATCATGTGTGAGAGGTGAAACATTGCGTACCGTGTGACCTGCTCTGGATTGTCTTCTGCCTCTGAGTCTGTTTCAGTGGTGGAGCCGTACAGACAGCCACGGTTGCCCTGGAAATCATGCATTACCTCGATCTGACAAAACACACATGAAACAAGTATCTCAGCTTGGGGCCTTGGACAGCTTTGTAAGACAAGTTCTGGCATATTTTAAATCAGCGACATTATGTTGCCAACATTTGTTCATTAACACTACATGCATACACACACACCTTGCGCTGGCTGTTGTTCCTCCTCGCCGCTCTCTTGCCAGGAAGCAGGTCGAAGGAGAACTTGGAGTTCAGAACGTTAAAGTCTACACCTGTGGAGAGAATCACACAAATATGACTGCTGATGACGGTGCCCTAGGCAGCCACATGAGATATACAAGAGGAAAGAAAAATGTTATTAAATGTCCAATGTCGTGAGAAGGGAGTACTAGTGAAAGGAGAAGTCAGAGTTGTGCTTGTGAGGAGTGGAGTTCAGATGAATGTATCATAAAAATATCCAGACAGTGCACAGAAATATGTGTCAGAAAATATGGGCTGAGATATGGGGCAGTCGGAGGGGTCGTACCATGTTTGGGAGAGAAGAGAGGTGACTTGCAGTGCTGTGCACTCTGGTCAGGTTCAGGCCTGGGGGCCACCAGCTGAATCGGTCTGACCTGTACATCGGCCAGCTTCCTCAGACACTGCTCTCTGTTCTTGATCATAGACTGCACCGAGTTCAGCTTCTCTGTTACCATGGATATTTGGGACTAGAAGGAAAGAAAGTAAAAGCTGAGGTGAACTGCTGATCATCTCTTTGAGTTTGTGTTCAGTAGTGGTGCGTTACCTGCAGCTGTGGGGTGAGTATGGCTTCAAACTCCAGGCTCACAATGTCCTGGCTGTTTTTTAGTGCGGACGGCGCCCTCTCCTGGTGGCAGCTCAGGTACTGCAGCGCCTCCTGAGCTCCCTCTCTGGTTTGGAACTTGTCCACCATTTGACTCGCCAGGAGATAGGCGCCCTCATCACACCACCTTAGGGCCTTTGCACACACACAAAGATACACAAGGAAACACAAGGTTTAAGGCACATTATATATATTTTAATTAGATCAAAAGAAAGAAAAAAGATTCACGTGATAAGATTTAACAATTGTACTTTTTAAGATTTTTTTTCCACCTCTGTCAAATGTGAAACAAAACAATAGCTGTCTTTCAGTAGCACAAATCTAAGATGGAGGACTGATGGATATACATTTTTTGGCGATGCCCCCATTTGTTTTGTAATATTCTTATATCAAAACAAACATACAGCTGACACTATTTGTGCATTGTACTGAAACCTGCATGGAAAATATAGAAAGTAGCAGAGCATGCACAGGCAAAAAGGTGAAGTGAAACACAAACACACAATTTAATTCAATGTTGTTTTTAAGTGCAATAATTCTGCTTTCTGTGCATAAGCTATGACTATATGTTTCATGTTAGCATTTTTACATCTTCAAGGCGAAGCAGCAGGTCTCGTGCTCGGGCAAGCGAGGCCCGCTTGGCGCGTGTGGCATTGGTGATGACGTCGCAGTAATGTCGCAGCTCGTTGCAGCGTTGGACGATGAGCGCCAGGGCGTAATGGTGGTTGGCAGCCAACTGGTGGCCGTGCAGGATCACCACCTGTGCTCGAGCCATCTCCTCCTGATTCACAAACACACACATGATGGTGTAAACTGATTTGGGTTTCATTTCCCCCACACATCCAAAGGGTGTTGTTTCCTGATGCAAGAAAACAATTACGGTGTGCAGAGCCTTAAACACTGTGTGCCATTGGACTTCATAAGTACGAGCTGATCACAACATTACAACTGCTCTAGCACTGTAGACAGACCCACAGCTTCCACAGTTACTCGCAGTGACAGAAGGTGGAACAAGGAGCATGCATGCATTGGTGAAAAATAATCCCAAACAACCCGTAATGTGCTTTTCTCAGAAACTGAAAAAAAAAAGAGAAAGAGGAAGGACATGGTCTCTTCCTTCACACCACATCTCAAACTGTAATTGTTGTTTGACTTTGTGACCTGAGCGCGTGCGTCCAGTATCTCCAGGTCCTTCAATAACTGTTCTGTCTGAACCACTGTGGTCCCCACAGGCGCAATGACCATCTCCTGCTCAGTGATCCTCTTCAGCACCTCCTCCATCTACACAAACACACACACACACACACACAGACAGTTAATCATCACAGCGGTGTAACATATAGTCAGGGCTCATATAACAGACACCAATCATCGCACCTGCTGGAAACTCATTTCATAGTGCAGCAGCTGGTGGTACTGCTGCAGCTTCAGGTGGTGTTTCTCAAAGAAGCCGTCAAACGCCTCCTCCATGTCTCTGAGCTGAGCCAGGAGCCTGAAACACACAGACGTTCACACAAGCTGCCTGCTGAGATAAAGGTTTAATAACATGTAAGCACCAAACTGAGAATATGTCTACTAAATCCTCTTGTCCATCCATCCTCCTAAACAAAACAACATCTGCTATTAAACTGAACTCTCATGCTGTGCTTCTCTCGTTCACTGATGCTGTACCTCTGAACAGTGTCCATGTCTGATTTTAGGTCCCTCTCCTCCTCTACGTCTCTCTTAGAGGCCTTAACAGTCTCCAGGTTGGACAGCAGCAGCCGTCCTTCTTTCAGGACGCCCCGTATATCATCCTGACATGACAACAAAAGACAAATGAAATCTAGAAAAAAAAAAGAATTACCACCTCATGATTATATGCCTTCATGAACCAGTGACATTGTGGTTACAGTTTGCATCCATGTCTGACCAGACTCATATGTAGCCATGACAGTAGACAGTGCTTTAAATATGGATGTTGCTGCAAGAAGCACATCAAATTTTAAAACGTGGATGCTTCACATACATCTTCAACCCAAGAGCAAAGAAGATATATACAATCATCACACTGGGGGCGGCTGTGAGTCAGAGGGTCATCCACCAATCAGAAGATCGGTGCTTTAATCCCCAGCTCCTCCAGTCTGCATGTCAAAGTAACCTTGGGCAAGATACTGAACCCCAAATCGCTCCCAATGGCTGTTTCATCGGTGTGAGTACGTGTGCTTGGTTACTGAGTACCAGGGGGCACCATCTATGGTAGCCTCGGCCGCCAGTGTGTGAATGTTTGTGTGAATGGGTGAATGTGACGCAGTGTAAAAGCGCTTTGAGTGGTCTGAAGACTAGAAAAGCACTCAAGAGCAGCCCATTTACAGTTTCAAGGTGGACACCCAAGACTAGCGTCACCAACTCAGTATCCGACCAAATGTCTTAACGCGTTGAATAATGGCCACAAAAGTGCTTTTGCAAAACATGATGATGTCACAGCAAAGCTGACCTTTGACTTTTTGAATATAAACTGTCATCATTTCATCCTATTAGAGATTTGTGTCAAATTTTGTCACAATCAGCATATGAATTCTTGAGTTATGGTCAAAAACATGTTTTTGAGGTCACAGTGGCCTTGACCTTTGACCACCAAAATCGAATCAGTTCATCATCAAATTCAAGTTGACTTTTGTGCCAGATTTGAAGAAATTCCCTCAATGCGTTCTTGACATATCACGTTCAGGATAATCAGATCAATGCAAGGTCACAGTGACCTTGACCTCTGACCTTTAACCACTAAAATCTAATCAGTTCATCCTTAAGTCCAAGCCAACGTTTGTGCCAAATATGAAGAAATTTCCTCATGTGTGGTGTTCTTGTGATTTTGCGTTCAAAAGAGTAAGACAAACAAGGGTCACAGTGACCTTGACTATGACCACCAAAATCTAATTAGATCATTGCATCATTGAGTCAAAGTGAATGTTTCTGCCACATTTGAAGTAATTCTCTTGAGGCATAAAAAACAGAGAACTCAAATACAAAAGCTGCCAGACACAGAGACAGAGAGTGACAGAGGAAAGGGAGAAGAGACGGTGTCAACCTTCATCTGTCGGTATCGGTGTGTGTGTGAGTGCAGCAGGAACTCGATGGCATTAGCTTCGTCTGGAAGCTCAGTTTCAGATAGCTCTGATCCGAAGCCCTGCAGCAGCTGGGCGATCTCCTTCACTGTCACTGCAAAGGTCTCAATGGCCTGAAGACACACACACACACACACACACAAAGACACACAAGCTGTTACTGATCGTTTTTAATTCACATGGTTTATCAAATTATGTAGTTTTAGCCAAACAATAAATAAAGAGAACAAAAACATGGCCAGTAAAAAGGGTTCGCTTCTTGTGTGGTTTTATTTTCAGTTGCAAAGACCTTTAGGAAGTGTGCAGCCTGTGCAATCGAAGCTTTAATCTCTATAGCTGTAACTTGCCATGCTCTGGGGGATAGCATCAGAGGTGCATACCGTGCGGAGGACGATCCAGTCACTTTGGCAGTACTCCACTTTCGCAGTGAAGTCTGATGTCAGGTGGTTTTCATCGATGTAGCGCAGCAGGTCACCAACTGAACGCAGCATCACCACCTAGAAACACAGCGCCACAGGGCATCCAATAAAACGACATCATGTTTCAACTTGTTTGTTGGCAGTGTGTAGTTAGTGAGCAGCAGAAAAGGACATCTACTGTTTATCAGATGGACAAGAAGATTGTGTGTAGTGCGGAGCAGATACAGGACTGTGCTGCATCAGATTAATAGTCTCCCACTCCTCAGTGCTCAGCTTTTAACCTCTTCTCACCGGCATCTTTAACAGGAAGTCATCCTGGCTGAAGCGGAAGCCCAGGTCAGTGCTTGAAGACGGACTCGGGGCAGAGCTTAACAAGCCAGAGGGGCGGAGCACCAAGACCAAATGTAGATTTCCTGGAAATGAGGTCTGAAAGAGGAAAGAGTGTAATATGTTATTCATTAACTCAGCTTCATAGTATTTTTATTAATTAAACACAACTAAAGTGTGGACTGGAAGAGGGGACAAAGGATGAGAGGAGAGTAGTGGTATCAAAAATGCATAAAGTCACAACTGTAAATCAATCTTCAACCGCACGGCTCTGACTGCTCAGGATTTACTGAAGACCTAATTGTGATATACCATGAATTATTTATGTCAGCCTGGCAATGTGGTAAACTGGCTACTGTGAATTTATCCTCCGTTGCATCCCCCAGATGAGGCCAGGGGAGCACAGGATGAGAGGAGTCGGACATCAGTCTTAAGTGTTGACAGCTGAATGTTGTCAGTCGTGCAGTGTAGCTACGCTCAACACAGCATCAGCACCTCTCTGTGTCAATCTGGGAGGTCTATCTGTGTCTACAGCGCTTCAGCAGCTCTGACAGTCAGCTCCTCCGCCTGACGCTGCTGCCTCATCACTCTTCTTCATGAAGATCAACGTGCCCTCACTTTACCTTCACTCTGTAAACACAGAGCTGCTGTCATTATTATGTTCGTCATTATGTGCAGTGAAGAGCAAAGCACTAATCAAGTGATCTGGTGGTCACTTTCTCCGCACCTGCTGTCCAACCCATACATTCTCTACAGTGTTTGCTCATATCCAGTGGCTTCAGGCATTATTAACCATGAGGAAGACTTTTACACTTCATATAAGCCTCTGTATGTGTTGTTGCTATTCATATACTGCTTTCACATTCCTCTCAGCTATAATGCACACAGTGTGATCTCACCAAACAAACAAAAGGCTCAGAACAGAGATCTTTTCCACTGTTTTCTAAGACTGGTGACTTTATTATCCAAACACACCACCAGGCGACAGGTATTTTAGCACAGATGGGCTTGTTCTCTGGCAGTGACAAACAGCTCTCTGTCTTAAGGTGTGCTGTAATCATCACAACTAGTGATTTGAACCACAGGCTGCTGACCTGAGTGCAAATAAACACAGCCTTCTCTCCCATGCACCTACCTTCCTACAGCCTTAACACCCAAGTAAACAGTCATCCAAGTGTCAGTACAATCCTGGATATGTACTCATACAGCAGCCATGATGGATGTTATTGTATGATTGCAGAATTGTCAGAAGATCTGCATTCCACAGTTGCATTTAGGGTCTGTGGGCATCAAGTATTTCACACATATTCCCAAATCTGTTACATAAAAGCTGCATAACTTGAACACACTCCACAGCTCCAGTCTGCAGAGCCGAAGCTGGTATCTGTTCTGGACCTGCAGTTGCAGTTCAAACACACACACAGAGGCACACATACACACACACACCAAACAAAACCCGTTTGTCATTGGCCTGTCCTGGTTCTCTACACACTCTTAACATTGAACAGCCGACTGAATCTTACCAGTCTCTGCACCGAGAGGCATGTTAAAATATGTGATGCAGTTTGCACTGTGCTAAGAGCATATCCCAACCTGTGTCGCAGTACTGAACTGTCTTTAAGAGAGACTCCTCTAGCTCTCTGCTCCTCTCACTCTGCTGCAGTATCCTCGCCGCCCCGTTTGAAGCCTCCCACTCCCCACATCCCGGCGGAGCTTACCGCGGCCCGGCGCAGACGGGGGAACCCCCGCAGCGGGTTGGACTCGGCCATGGCTTTCGGCGCTTCCCTGCTCTCCCCTGTTCTCCCCGAGCCCGGGAAGTCTGCAGCGGGACGTGTTGTCGGGAGCGAGCAGCCGCAGCGATGGCACGGTAACCTACACTGCAGTGTCCGGGCGGGCCGAGCAGCGCGCTGAGTGCGCACCTCAGCAGACGCACTCCTGCTGGAGACCAGGATGGTGGGGTGTGTTTCACCTACCTGACGTCAAAGCCAAAATAAGTTTGGTCGGCCCGCAGCAGCTCTGCACAAATGTCCATATTATTATATGTGAAAATTCAACACTACTATAATTAAATGCGATTTTTCATCTTATTAATATTCATTAGGGAGAATTACTCCCCTGCCTCACCCTGCTGTAAGACTATGCAAAATATGCTGTCTTCATGTTTCTGAACTTATGTTTGATTACTAAACAGCGAAACACTCATTATCTCATCTCATCTGATGAGCTGGTAGGAAATACAGTAAAAGGTATTGATTCATTTCCACTGGATCCGCAAGATGGCGCTTGGAACTCATGAAACTGTAAACCACCGCTGGATCACCTTATGACATTTACAGTATGCATGATCCCATTAACCTGTTCGCAGTGGGATAAAGTAACGAAATACTCAACTACTGTGTATAAGTACAATTTTGAAGTATGTACTTAGAATATTTATAAGTAATGCAACATTATGGTCTAATTTATGGACTCATCTACATCTTAGAGAACATGTTGTACTTTTTACTTCACTTTATCATTTAAGAGCTATAGGCATGGTCAGTAGTTACTTTGCAGAAATAGATAATTAGTACATCATTAGTAAATTAGTAATTAGTAAATATAAATTAACTAATAATTTATTATATATTATTATGGAATAAGCTCCCCAGCAGTGGACTTTGTAAAGTGGGCTAATGAATTATCTCCATGTTAAACAACTAGACCATCAAAGTTACGAGCTCATTTTGGTGATAATACTTTTGTACTTTTATTTGAGTACATTTAAATGCAGAATCTTTACATATAACTGAGTATTTTATGACGTAGTAGACTACATCTACTTCTACTTAAACAAAAGATCTCAGTACCTCTTCCAGCACTGAATGTTAGGGGGCCTCGTAGCAAGGATTTGCAGTTGGGCCTCCAGTGACAAGCCGCTACACAGCCCCCTCTCTCTGTACATTAACCTGTCACCTTCACCTTTCCATCAAATACAGGTACAGCAGATGTAGGTTTTCTCCAGGTGCTTCCTCCCACAGTCCAAAGACATGCAGGTTAATTGGTGACTCTAGATTGCCCGTAGGTGTGAATGTGAGCGTGTCAGCCCTGTGATAGTCTGGCAACCTGTCCAGGGTGTACCCCACCTCTCGCCTAATGTCAGATGGGATAGGCTCCAGCCTCCCTGTGACCCTTAACAGGATAAGCGATTACAGAAAATGAATGGATGGAACCAGGTTGTCCAGGTATACTATTTTGAGGTAACTTGATTAAAGCCCCTGAAACCTTATTTCAAACCCTATATAATGTTAAATCAACATGACTACATTAGCAACAATCCAATGTAGAGTCAAACCTAAAATCATCCTTAGATTTTATTAACTGGGTGGGTGGTTTCAAATGAAATTTGTACAGACATGAATGGTCCCCAGAGGTTGAATCGTACTGACTTTGGTGATCACCTGACTTTTCCTTTGGCACCGGCATGTGGTTTATGACCAAATACCTGCTAAACTAATGACATTCCGATGAGCCTTGGTTGTATTGTTGTTTAGAGCTGATTAGCAAATGTTAGCATGGCAATATGCTACGCTAAGATAGTGAACATTGTAAGAAATTAAACCTTCCTATTAGCATGTTAGCATAATGTTTGCATTTAGCTCAAAGCACTGCTGTGCCTCAGTACAGCCTCACAGAGCTGGTGACATGGCTGTAGACACAGAGTCTTGTTATGAGCTCATTTCACTAGTACATTACCTCATACTGTACTCAGCTAGCTTCATGTAATGTCCCTCATCATATTATTGGTGTGCATCATTTCATCTCCAACCTATAAATAATTGATTGTGCTTGTTGTGCCCTTTGGCTGACGCTCCTCACGAGACACACCACTATTAGTGGGTTCGGCCTTATAAAGAAGCCTGAGCCTCCTACTCCTACCTGCTCCTTCACTCAGCTGCTGCTAAATAAAACCTCTTAGGACATGGGTACTGTGCCAACTTGGGCTTTCATGACCAGGTGCTAACATGGCATTGGTCTCACGCTATATATATTTCTACCTGTCTGTTCTATTTTCATCGAGTGGTAATGTTTTCAAAAGAGAGGGCTTCATTTTGTATTACCAGTGCTTTGTTTGGATTAAAATTGATTTATATAAATAAAAATGTGACATATTTGGTGCAACTCAAACGCTGCAAAAATTGCTTTTAAGCTCTGTACGCTGGAATCAAATGGTAAGAACCTGTCTTGGTATATTAATCCTGGAATAAGAGTTACAGGGTTTTATCAGGGTGTGGTTAAAGAGGGCAGTGGTGAAGAGATGTGTGAAAGAACGAGAGACAAAAGAAAACATTTATGTTATTATTCTGCATTTTAATCTGGTGGCCTTTGTTCTTTGTGAACCACAATATTTTTGCGTGGGCTATCTTAGTACAAGCTTAAAGATTAAGTGGATTAAATATATCAGGTAGGCAGAGAGTCTCACTGTCTCTGTGTTTCTGTCGTTTACAACCTGCAATTAGGTTTTTAGATAAATGACAGTTTTCTCTCTGTTATTATTATCTATCTGTCTTCAGCCCACCTGTTTGTCACATTTCTACCGTAATATCATGCAGTTTCAGGCAAATCAGACTGATAAAGTGGTAGGGTTTTTTGTATAGCCATTTGCCACTATTTTGTTTTTATTCTGTATATTTGTGACACATATTTCTGATTTATTATGTACATACACACCAGAATTTTCAGATAATGCTCAACATCGACCATAACAATGATGTTAAATTCCAAAATATTTGCAGTCTTTTTCTCCCTTTCTCTCTTTTTATTTGTTTGTGATTGTTAGTCATGTGTTTATCAGGGAGATCCTCCTCCGAGGGAATCACACTGTCACATTGTGTTTGGGTTGATGATCAAACGGCTGCGGGCCAAAGTAGCCACGCTGTTTACAGGAAACACTGCAGACGAAACAGTGATTAATATGGAGGCAACGTGAGCCATTCTAATAAAACCTGAGCCTTCTACACATGTTTTATTTTAACTTGGCCTGATCACAAATAGGTACGGTTAAGCACCATGTCGCGAAGGCAAGAAAGTTTATACGACTGTGGAAAAGCTTCAGTGAATAGCTTCTTCCACTTGAAGCTTTATTTTCCCATTACACAAATCAAATTAAAACAACCTGAGCAATGAATAAGCTGATAAAGCTTTCACATAAGACTTCACCTGCACAGCCTCTCTATTTGGATCTGAGTGAAGTTACAGCTCAGTGAAGCCATGGTCACAAGACAGTGACCCTTGCCTTGTGGGGCATCCTGGTGGCCTGGAGGTCACTCTGCTAGATGGATTCCAGCTAAGACCTTTTGTCATGTTATCCCCCTCACTCATATTTTAATTATAAATATATATATACATACATTCTATTAAAGTATCCTTGAAAAAACAAGAATTCAGTCAGCGAACATTACCCTCAAATCAGTGTTGGAAAAATATGTGAGCCATCATATTGTCAACAACCCCCTTAAACTGGCCCTTATGTGCAGCATCTTCAAAGTTAAATAACATATTCTGCCTGTGTTTGTCTCAGCACTTCACAAGAAACCATTTATAGGACTGTGCCAATGTGCCAGCTGGAAAACAGCAAACTCTGACGTCTTGACTGGGATTAAAGTTTGAACTTTCAGCATGCTGTTGTTACATTGGAATTCGTGGAGTTTCAAAGGTCAAATGGGAATCTTTCAGGTGATTGTGGATAATCTCTGGCACGTTCCTGAGACACTGTTGAATAAGACAGCTTATTCTGACACTGCTGCCGATGCTCCTGTCATCCACACCGTAATGGGACTACGAGCCCTTAATCTGTTGAGATCAGACAGACTGGAATACTGAGAATCTCCATACTGCTCCACAAAGAGCTAAAAATATTGCACACCCTTTATTTGTATATTTAATTGTTTACTTTTTATTTTATTATATGAATTGAATATGAAGTTTATTTTTACTTTTGAACTTAAAAAAACACCTTATATAAACTGGTGTTTTTATAAGCTTCATTTTTAATAACTTTTGAGGGTTTTGTCTTTCATTCTGTTTCTTTTTATAGTGCTTTTATTGTTGGTTATCTGTTTCTGTTTTTAAAAATTGTATTTTTACTTGCTGTTTTATGTTATGCACAAGTATGCACTTTCATTAACTGTGAAGCTCATTGGTTGGTGGGAGAAATGTCCTTAAAGCTAGTATTTAAATTGAAAATATGCCATCTCTATTATGCGGGTGTCCAATCAATGTCAAGGGTAAATGTAGTCGACTGAAACAGTGAATACCTCAGTGCGAACTATATTGATTGAGAAAGCTGCATTCACAGCTGCAAAATCTGTTGTTCTTTCTGCATCCAGTGCCGTCATTTGACGTGACATTGATGTGGTTTGAGGAAGGAAAAACTACAGGTTGGATTTCGTCTCCAATAGCCAAGGGGTTGTGCTCAAGATGCCACTCAAAAACAGAACTTCCTTGTATTCTTCTCGTGTTTTGTAAACTGGCTATGCTTCCAACAGCAACAAATATAAGTGCAGAAGATATATGTCCTTTACAGCATTTTCCCTGACTCAGACATTTAGTCGTATTTATTTGAGCCAGAGTAAACAGCTGAAGAAATCATTCTTACAAACCCCACTGAAAAAAAAAATCCAACTGGACCAAAAGGTCATAGTCCAATGGCTCATTACCTGGAAAACAAAACCCACTTTTGTTTATTTAACTTAGTTCACAGAGGAGCTATTAAAGTAAAATATTAACTAAAAAGAGAAGTCTTTCTTAAGGACTCATATAAAGTCATATTATTTATGTTATGATTCATACATTATCTGTTAACTTGAGCAATGTGATAATGGAACGTAGAAAGTAGTGAGACCGACAGT